AAAAAGCCGGTGCCAGGGGACTTGAGCAGAGTTAAGAGACTTCTGATAGCGCTCAGGGTAAGGTTAGGCAAAAGTGAAGGGTTCATACTACGCTGCTTTGAAAGTTTCGAACACGAACCTTTTTCACTGATTTGCACATACCTGTTATGGTGGGACTGTTGTAAAGAAGGGCTCTAAAATCTCATCGGTAAGTATGCCGTCATTTTCCTGTTCAAGTTCTCGCAGGACCTTTCGTCCCCGGACCAGACCAGGTAAGAGATAACAGAAAACATCGGCTTCGGAATAGAACCAGGAAGACTATTGAAATGCTGCCGCTCCGACGAAGCTTATTGTAATATGTGCCGGAAACAATGGAAGGAACGTACCAAATTATCTTACCATGTTGTCCTCTTGTTTTATTGGCGGAACAAGGGTAGGCTGGTTCATGAATGGTCCTAGCAGCGCCTCCGGAAAAGATCCCGGTGCATCTTCGAATGGTACCATGGGCATAGCAGTATATGGTGGCGGTGCGCCTATAAGCCCTATAAACGACTCTATTATATTTTCCAGCGATGATCAGAAGCATATTTTTTCAACATTTAACACATATTAGCTCAAAAATGCGGCACACTCTGGAGGATAGATGCTGTGTTGTACTTGTGCTTAAAGGCACGCTCCAGGGTTAGGCGCCTCACCTGTTCCATCCCCCTAAGAGACAGGAGGACAAGCGTTGATGTGCCCCTTTCCGCTTGAAAGTGCGCGACAAAGGCGCAAGGAGCTCGTCCGACCCGCAACTCACACCTTCGTCCGCAAGCCCCTGTCGGTTGCCACGTGGCGCTGCTTGAAAAGCGCGGGCGCATTTGAGGCAGCGGTCCCATTGCGACCCAATGTTATTGGCACTGGAGCAACTAGAGTTAGGTTCGTGAAACTCGTCCAACGCGCCCCTTCTCTATCCCAAGGTGGGGAGGTCTCTGTGCGGGGCGTAATCGGTGGTTTCGTTTGCTTTCCTTCTCTTTTCCAGACCACCTCCCACCTCTAGCTTCATAACTGAACGCTTTTCCACACCTATTTTATCCCGAATCTTGCCTTACAAAACGCATACCCCATCCAGTAGTTGTGAGTTGTTGCGCCGGAAAGCAGATGCAGTATTTTGAGTTCAATTAGTGGTGAAAGAAAG